AAAGAATTGGGTTTGTTTAGTTTGGAAAAGAGAAGACTGAGAGGGGACATGATAGCAGTTTTCAGGTATCTAAAAGGGTGTCATAAGGAGGAGGGAGCAAACTTGTTCATCTTAGTCCCTAAGGATAGAACAAGAAGCAATGGGCTTAAACTGCAGCAAGGGAGGTTTAGGTTGGACATTAGGAAAAACTTCCTGTCAGGGTGGTTAAACACTGAAATAAATTGCCTAGGGAGGTTGTGGAATGTCCATCTCTGGAGATATTTAAGAGTAGGTTAGATAAATGTCTATCAGGGATGGTCTAGACAGTATTTGGTCCTGCCATGAAGGCAGGGGACTGGACTCAATGACCTCTCGAGGTCCCTTCCAGTCCTAGAATCTATGAATCTATAAGAGGAATCTCGAGTAGGAACAGAGAGGCTATTTTATCTCTGTATTTGGCACTGGTGCGACCGCTGCTGGAATCCTGTGTCCAGTTCTCATGTCCACAATTCAAGAAGGATGTTGATAAATTGGAGAGGGGTCAGAGAAGACCCATGAGAATGATTAAAGGATTAGAAAACCTGCCTGATAGTGAGAGACTCAAGGAGCTCAGTCTATTTAGCTCAACGAAGAGAAGCTGAAGGGGTGACTTGATCACAATCTGTAAGCACCTACATGGGGAACCAAATATTTAGTATAACGGGCTCTTTAATCTAGCAGAGAAAGGTCCAACATGATCCAATGGCTGGAAGCTGAAGCTAGACAAATTCAGACTGGGAATAAGGTGTACATTTTTAATGGTGTGAGTAATTAACCATTGGAACAATGTACCAAGGTCATAGTGGGTCTATCGCTAACAATTTTTTAACTCCAGATCGGATGTTTTTCTAAAAGATCTGCCCTAGGAATGGTGTTGGGGGAGGTCTCTGGCCTGTGGTATACGAGCGGTCAGACTAAAGGATCACGATGGTCTCGTCTGGCCTTGGAGTCTAGGAATGATGGAAGGACTGTGGGGATCTTTCTCGCTGTTCCGACAGGTGGGAAGGGCCCACCAGAGACAAGGAAATACAAACCAGGGCTGAAATCCCGGCCCCACTGGAGTCGATGGGAAGTGTTGCTGTTGAGTTCATTGGAGTGAGGAGGTCAGCCAAGCTCAGGGAGCTGAGGATGGTGTGGCTGGCCTCTAAGGCCCGTCCCTTCAGCCTGGTGATCGGTCTTTTAAAAAAATGGCAAGAGCTCAATGAAAGCTGCACGTCTTTGTGTTGTGCCTCCACTGAGAGGAGCAGGGCTGTGTTTAAATATGGCCGCCGTGTGCTGGCGGGAGCTTGGAGGAGGAACGGGCCCCGCGGTGCCATGGTAACTTGGGGCAAAGGTTCCAAAAGTTCCTGGTAGTTGAGGCTCGGTGGAATCAGCTGGGATGGAAGGCCCAGGGGCCTGGCCATCTTCTGCCGTAGCAGGCTCAGAGATGGTGCAGGTGTACCTCTGACCTTCACCAGAGACCTGCGTCTACGGTAAAGGAATAAGCCATCTGGGTCCAGTGAACGCAGGCACACTTCTTCACTTGGCTATTCTGGTTCTTGTGCAAATAAAGGTGAGACTCCTGTGGCTCTGCAACGCACGAGGTACTGAACAGAGGCAGCATGGGCCACAAGAAAGCTGGGGGTTGGGGATACGGACGACTTGCTTGCCAAGGAGAGAATACATCTGGGAATGGATTTTTTTTTTTTTTTAAACTCTGAATTGGGCTCACCTTGCTATCGCCTGACTCTGGGGTGGCTGACGCAGCAGCTGGTTGGGGCAGGGACACCCTTGGGTTCTGTGTTTGTACAGCACCGAGCGGGATGAGGTGGTGATGGGACTTCGGGGTAGCTACTGCAATGCAAATAAGAAATAAATAATAGTACTGGCACCACTGTGTTATCGTAGAATATCAGGGTTGGACGGGATCTCAAGAGGTCATCTAGTCCAACCCCCTGCTCAAGGCAGGACCAATCCCCAACTAAATCCCCAAATGGCCCCCTCAAGGATTGAACTCACAGCAGGCCAATGCTTAAACCACTGAGCTAGCCCTCCCCCTGAGTCTGTTTAAAGGGGCTGCGTGGCACACTCCCTGCAGTGTCGCATGGGCTGGGTTTTTATTTTAGACATGACAGAAATGTGCAAGATCCCGCCCCAAATCCTCTTCCGTGTTACCAAATCTCTGCTTTGGGCTGACGAGCGGAAAATGGATCCACTGAAATAGGGAATGGATGGCGGCTTGACCAATCGAAATGGAAAAGCACATGGTCCAGGCTAGAGGAGGAGGAAAGTAGTAAATAGACAAGGTTTAAACACAAATAAGAAGGGGGGGAAGAAGGACACTGTGGTTAGGGGAGCTGTTTTTGCCAACAGTGTTACCCAGGGCTTGGGACTCTCCCAGCTGTGACATTGATTCCTCTGTGACCCTGGGCAAATCACTTAATCTCTCAGGCCCTCCACTCCCTATCTATAAAATGGGGTTAATGCTCCTTCCTTGCCCTGCTTTAGTTAGACCCTCATCTCTTTGGGGAAGGGACCGTTTGTAGAGAACGGTGGGGTCCCCATCCCGACTGGATCCTTCGGGCACTATAGTCACAGAAATGAGCAATAATAACGTGCCTCTCTCCCACCTTCCCTGATCTCTCTTGAGAAATGCCGCCTCTCACTGTGCCTGCCCCGGGGGGACCTCCCTGCCTTGGGTCTGCAGGCTCTAGCTTGGGATGCCTCAGCATTAGCCACCTGTCTGTCCAATTCCAGGAAGAGAACGAAGTCTTCCAACTGTGGCACAGGAGCGCCCTCTGCTGGGCAGCGCCGCTCCGCCTACCCACCCACCTACTGATACCGACCTGTGCTGTGTCTCGTGATCCCACAGTTATGGCCGACTCGGTGGGGAATCGGCTGTCGATCTGTGCAGCCTCTGAGGCTGCTCCTTGTGGGTCGTCATGTTCCCCTGGAACTCTCAGGACTTCTCACCTTGCTTTCCATGGGTCCAAGCCCCTCTGCTCCACTCTCTTTTCTCAAGTTCCTTGTGGTGACTTGTGGCTGGTCTGTCTATGCAACCATCTCCGTTCTCAGAGGGAGAGCTTGCTGCTTGGCCAAAGCTGCTATCCCCGGCTGGCCTAGTCTTGTCCTTTGGGCATGGTGCATAGCTGCTCTGAGCATGAATGTTAAGAGAACTGGCCTGACCCACTAGTTGCCTTTCCTGAATACAGCACCTGGAAACAGAGGTTGGAGAGGGGGAAAAGATCACTGAGTCGCCTTGTCCTTCTCCAGCCTGCCCCAGCCCCCTTGCCGCTTGCAAGATGGTTCCTTTTCTCATCCACTGTCCTGCCTGGTTGGAAGAGATCTAAGTTCCACCAATTTCCTTAGGCGGCGCTTCTCCTCATTTTCACCCCAGTATGGCTTACTGACGCTTGTAGCCATAGATTCAGAAGATTTGCCTCGTTCTGGAGCAGTGCCTTCCGAGGCAAGTGAATGCAGCGTGATATCCGGGCCTGGGTCAACCCTGGAAATGGGCGGTGTGGGAGGCCGAGAGGCACACTGTGGAGAATGCTGAATTAATTGGGCACGTCGTGGGTCGAAGCAAATGCCTCCTCCCGAGAGTCAATGCCGTAGGCCTTTGCCAATGGTGTTCTGTTCTTTCCCCCGCCCCGACAGGGGCAGACAGGAACCTGCTTTTCGAGGATGGGGCACATCGGGAAGCCGAGGACCTAGGCTGGAGCTCCAGCGAGTTTGAGAGCTACAGTGAGGACTCTGGCGAAGAGGCCAAGCCTGAGGTGGAACCTGCCAAACACAAGGCGTCCTTCCAGCCAAAGGTAATCGGCGCACGATGTGCCCTGAGAGCGGATACAACCGGTCCTGCCTCGATGGCTGGTGTGGGGGGGTGGCGCACCAGTTTGAAATAAAACCTCTGACCCACTTCTCTCGTCGATGATCCAGGGCTGTACTGGTTGGGGGCGCTGGAGGGTAAACGCTAAATGGTTTGTCAGGCTAATGCCCAGTTGTAAATGTTGGTAGCCCATCCATGGTTAAGGGAGTGGTGTATCAATAGCTTGCGGGTAAGCAGCAGACTGGGAGGATGTGAGGGGTGTAGCTGTTTCAAATTTGACTCAGCTGAGCTATGGGGTGCACTCGGATGGCCTGGATGTGAAACCTTTTAGCTTGACTAATCCCCGCTGCCTGGGAGAGGGGAAGGGGACTTAAGTGGACCCCCAGAGACTGTTGCCTAGTGGGCAGAGCACTGGACTGGGACTCAGGAGACCTGGGTTCTATTCCTGACTCTGCTAGTCCCTGCCCTTCTCTGCCTCAGTTTCCCCATCTGTAAAATGGGGCTAATGGCACTGACTTCCTTTGTAAAGTGCTTTGAGATCTATGGAGGAAAAGCCCCATATAATAACCAGGTGTTCAAGCAGATGGTGGGTGGATTTTGTTTTTTAATTTATTTAACATCTTGCCCAGAGAAATTGAACTGGGATAATAAATTAGCTGCTGGTCTCCGATATTGCCTGGTACTGGGGAGGCCATTTGTGGCCTTGTTTGAACCAGGATTCTACTCATGGCTGCAGTTTCCTAGGAGCCGAGGCTTTGTTCCAGGCTATCGGGGTACATTGCCGTGTCCCCCCCCCCCCCCACCATGCACGCTAGATCTTGTCCTCTTTGAACCCCCGCTAATGGTTCATGATGCACAGCTGGCTGCAGGGCTGTTCTGGTGCAGTCAAATGGGGGCAACAAGAATCCCAGCTGGGACAATTTGGGGGGCTGCCCAGGCCAGGAAGGGGTTCACTGACCCCCTGCTGTGTAGCCTGGAGGATTTTTATGCTGTGCAGCTTTGGTTCAGAGTCCTGATGCCAGTAGCCAGCCCACAAGCACGAGGTCTCACTCTGGCGTCCACCGGCCTTTGCAGGGTGACACCAGCAGCCCTTCCCGTCCCGAGTCTTCCCAAATCCGTCCTCCCCGAGTTCTTAACGACCAGACGCCGACTTTCCCCTCTGGTGCGTCACCCTCAAAGGTGTGAGACCAGCCCCCCAGACACTAGCTGACTTTGGCCCCTGCGTCCACCCGGTTTGTGCACCAGAGACCTGCGTGGGGTGCAAAGAAACAAAAGGTTTATTAGAATCACAGAAGATTAGGGTTGGAAGAGACCTCAGGAGGTATCTAGTCCAACCCCCTGCTCAAAGCAGGACCAATCCCAACTAAATCATCCCAGCCAGGGCTTTGTCAAGCTGGGCCTTAAAAACCTCTAAGGATAGAGATTCCACCACCTCCCTAGGTCACCCATTCCAGTGCTTCACCACCCTCCTAGAGAAATAGTTTTTCCTAATATCCAACCTAAACCTCCCCCACTGCAACTTGAGACCATTACTCCTTGTTCTGTCATCTGCCACCACTGAGAACATCCTCTTTGGAACCCCCCTTCAGGTAGTTGAAAGCTGCTATCAAATCCCCCCTCCCTCTTCTCTTCTGCAGACTGAATAACCCCAGTTCCCTCAGCCTCTCCTCGTAAGTCACGTGCCCCAGCCCCCTGATCATTTTCGTTGCCCTCCACTGGACTCGCTTCAATTTGGGGTACGTCCAGACTACCCGCCGTATCGGCGGGTAGCGATTGATTTATCGGGGATCGATATATCGCGTCTCGTTAAGATGCGATATATCGATCCCTGAACGCGCTCCCCGTCGACTCCGGAACTCCACCGGAGTGAGCGGCAGTAGTGGAGTCGACGGGGGAGCCGCGGCCATCGATCCCGCGCCGTGTGGACCCCAGGTAAATCGATCTAAGATACTTCGACTTCAGCTACGCTATTCACATAGCTGAAGTTGTGTATCTTAGATCGATTTTCCCCCCCCAGTGTAGACCAGCCCTTGTCCACATCCCTTGTGTAGTGATGCCATTGACTAGAAAAGCCACCAATTCAGAGATGACAGTTACCGACAAACGTGTCTACGTTCGATAAAACCCCTTTTCTAGTACAAGCTGCGTATCGCCTTTGAACAGTTTCCCAGTGTACCCCTGAGCCGTGGGGAAGATCCAGTGTTTCACGGACAGCACCTGCCGAGTGACGGTTGTTACGTGGAACCGGTTTCCTGTCACGCCCTGGCGTGGGCGGCGCCCCTCCCGGCGGTGAGGTGTACCTGAAATTGTAATGCAGGTTATGAGCACAGTGTTTATATAGACAGATCCGTGCTCTGTCGTCTAATCTCATGATGACCAAGTTCAGAACATTATAAGCTTCCATAAAAGACCTTCCTCGATACACATTGCATCCTGTATTATTGTACTATAAATCAGCTAGTTCAACTGCTCATTTTGGGGGGAGGGGGGGCTAAAGCTTCTGCTCTCCCCTTGGGTCGGGACCCTGAGTGTCCCGTTTTCTTGCGTGGCGGGTCATCCCTCCGTCATTCAGAACTGGCCGACTGCCTCTCGAAGCGGTTAGTCGTGAAATCCTACCATAGGCTGGCACCTTCTCGAAAGGGCGCATAGACCTATTGGTAACGGAAGAGGTGCTGGAGCTCAAGCAATTGGGTGCCGGGGCTCAAGCCATCTTTTTTAGTTTCATAACCGAACGGCCGGGCCCGGAGGCGCCGGGGCCCCGAACGGCCGGGCCCGGAGGCGCCAGGGCCCCGAACGGCCGGGCCCGGAGGCGCCGGGGCCCCGAACGGCCGGGCCCGGAGGCGCCGGGGCCCCGAACGGCCGGGCCCGGAGGCGCCGGGGCTTAGCCCTGGCACGCCCCAGCACAAATTAAGCCCTGCCTATAAGTGTGTTGTCTGTAGAGGGTTTTTCCTCTGTGATGTCCTGTTCTGAGTCCAAACCAGGACTGTGACGCAAGCAGAGAAGAGCCCGTGCCCCAGAGAATCCCTCCCGGGTTTTACACTGAGCCCAGGGTGCGCTGGAGCAGGACTATGGGGAGCAGCCAGTGCCGGGCAGATACCCACGTGGGGCAGACGTGCACGACAAAGCTGTTACGTCTGTTCCTATTGCCTGTCGGTGCTTTGCGCTCCCAGACAGCTGGGACAAGACGCTCCAGCCCTCAGACTGTTCCACAGAGTGCCTCTGACTGGGGGTGGGACGCAGACTTGGGAGGGGAGAGGGTTGACCGGGATGGGGGGCACCCGGCAATGCCTCCTGGTGGCTGAGATCCCGCTTGGCGCCCTGCATACTGCATGAGCGTGTGCTACCCCCTCCTTCCGCGCCCCCCCCCACCTCCAGGCTCCTGTGTGCGCTTGCCTCTGTCCCGCTTTGCTGTGCGGTCTGGGGGGGACATGCTGGGCAGGGCTACGAAGCAGCTTGTCTTAATGCAGCAGTGGGACCCTCCCTTGCCCCCTCTCGTCTCCCCGCCCCCGTAGCGAGTTCTCCTTGGGCTCAGAGTCGGGGAATGGGTTCCTGCATCGGGGGCCTTGACATGGGATTGGGGGCTGTGGAGAGCCCGGTAAATTACTGGACATAGCGGTTGTTGCCTGGCTGGATCTCTAAAGGGGGGGGCCCAGGACCCACAATCTGGTGCCTGGCGGGGAGCATCCCTGCTTGGCAGCCCCTCTCCCCTGCCTCAGAGGAGCACCAGTAGGTCCTGGTGCACCACTGCAGACATGGCCTTGGGGTGGGGAGAGCCTTGGCCACCGTTCAGCACAAGGCCTCTTGCTCTCCTGAGCAATTAGATTCCCCCTCGCTCCCCTCCAGGGAGCAGGACAAGAGCTATCCCCACCCTGGTGGGGGTCATGGCAGGTGCTCCTCTCCTTCGGATGGAGGGGACAGGAGCGCCCCACCTGCATTCAGACGGGCTAGTCTAGACGGATCACTGGTCCTCTTGTTTCTCCTCCTGTGTTTGGCTGCTTACCTGAATCTCTCTTCTCTGCCTCTCTTCCCGCCGCCTGTTGCTTCTCCTCCTACCTGATTGCTTGGGGCGCAGCTTTCTCCAGACCTGAATAGGCTAAAGGAGAGATACGCCAGGACAAAGAGGGACATTCTGGCTTTAAGAGTTGGGGGGAGAGACATGCAGGAGCTGAAGCAGAAATACGATTGTAAGGTACTGTCCCTCCTTCAGACTGTTTTTTTACCCCCTTATCGATCCCTCCTGGGTTGCATGCTCTCTCTGCACCGCAGTCTCTCTCTGCTTCGCATGAGTGCTTCCCTTTTACACCAGGTGTGCTGAACTCAAGTCTGCAAGCATGCTCTTAAAGGGGCACTGTGAGATGCTCTTAAAGGGGCAGAGGCGCGTGGACCAGGGGCGAGAACCGGGCGTCGGTTCTGTTCCGGGTGACTCCCTGGGTACGTGCAAACCCCAGCTCGAGGAGACGTACCCGCGCCAGCTAGAGGACTGAACGGAGAAGTGTAGCCGTGGCAATGCAAGTGGCAGGAGGGGCCGGTCACCCGGAGTACGATCTCTAGGCATGTACTCGGGGCAGCTACGCTTCTATCTTTAGTACGCTAGCGCCACCAGCGCTAGCATGGATCTGTCCCCTCGAGCTCGAAGTGTAGCTACACCCATTGCCTGTGGCCAAGCCATGTCACCTTTGTGCCTTGGTTTCTGGGAAATCAAGAAACCTGTCTGGGAAAACGGGTAGAATGCTTCCCTGCCTCCCAGGGGTTCCACACAGCATGGGTGTGGCTCTGAAAAGTGACTCTAAAAATGGCATTTCCAGGTTTGCTTTCTTTCAAATGAGCTTGGCTTCCAAGTAAAATGATGCAGGAGGAGGAGGGGTTTATCTGCCAGCTCCCTTTTGGATCTGAGCACCTCACCCGGCATTTTCCTTGTGCCTTGTGACCAGTAAAAGGTTCTGCAGATCAAATTTTGCCCTTGGTGACCCCTGTGCAGCCCCAGGTGTCACTGACTGGAAGCTAATTAACAATATGGTTTGCACCAGATGGCCTGGGATCCCGCACCCCCCCTCTGCCAGCTGCATTGGCTCTTGCACGACTATGGGGAGTAAAAAGCAGCAGAGCCTTATTTAAGGGTTTGTCTTCACTGCCGAGTTCATGGGAGCCCTAACCCCCCCCCCCCCAAGACCTCCTTAACTCCAGTGCGCTGGTGCTGTTAGCTCTAGTTAGCTACTAATACGCTCCAGATCAGTGTTATTTCACAGTGCGGCTCCTTGCTCAAGGGAGAAGGTAGAGAGCTGGAGTTAACGCTGCCGCCGAGTGGCTGAAGTGGGCAGATGAGCCTGGGAGAAGATCTGCTGAGTAAGGAGGTGCCAATTTTGCACAGTCACTTTTCAGAGCAGAACTGCACACGAGTGAGTTGGCCTTCGTAAAACGTGTGCAGACATTGGGCGCTCTGGAGAGTGGCTCCCATTTAAGAAGGCACCAGCCGTTCCCACACAGTGGTCTGAGAGCAGTAGTTCCTATACCTTTAAGAAGTTAACCATGTATCTTGGATACCTCTCTGGCAAATGCTGGTGACTTTTATATGGAAGCCGTTGTCTCTAAGTGCAAAATATTGGTCACACTTCGTATTAAAGTTTCCTTTATAAGCAGTTAATTGATTGCTATAGAGCCCAGTAGGTCAATAGGTTGCTTATAAACATCTATAACACTTTTTTTAAACTTTATTTTTTTATATAAAATATAAACACAGAAGGAAACCAAACATATGTAAATACAGGCCCAACAAGGAAGTAGCATGTAAATAACAAAATTCAGCGTTCGTTATTTTTTAAAACCTGGAAAAAATCGAAACAAAATCAAACCAAAAACTTGAGCCTGAGGAGGTCATGTAGGGTATCAGGTCAGTGACTAAACAGATAAATGTGAACATAAGCGATGTTAACTAATATATACTAAACTGCAAAAATATGCAACGGTTTCATGTGTGACCAGGCACCTTCATTCCTCCTCTCCCAAACATTTCTATTAGACAGTGATTTTTTTTCTATTCGTGCGCTAGCAGAGAGCTCACTAAGCCAGTCTGTGTCCGAGGGAGGAATTGCAGATTTCCATTTTCTCAAAATAACATTTGGCCACACAAATAGTTATTGCAATCCACTTCTTAATACCAGCTCCTCCAGCAGCCCTGAAATACACAAGCTTGGAGAAGGCAAGATAGGGACATCTAGCGTTTTTGAGAGGGCTCTGAATATGGGGTTCTGGAACACATGTATTTTTTGACTGGTATAGAGGATGTGTGAAAAGTTGGCATGTGGCTGTTTGCTCTAATGCCTGCTAGTGACATGCTTATAACTATGCCTAGCACATGCTTACAGCAGTCCAGTAACCCTTTATAAACCATTTGTAGATGGAACCTCTGTATAAAATGACCGTGTTATTATCTGATCCGTTGCCCGAGACTGAAAATGGATATCGTATTTGATTGGCCCCTCATTTGATTGTCCTGTCTTTGCTCTGGGTTTCATCTCTCAGTACTGCTGCTTACGACGCTTCCTAAAACACGAGAGCAATAAGAATCTGATGTCTTGCATTCAACCTGCATCTTTGTCCACCTCCCCTGCCCTCTGCCCATTAATCCATCTCAGCCAGGGATACTTCCGAAATTCTAAACCTTTTTGTGGCCTGAAACAGCTGCCCCTTAAAAACCTACCATAAGTCATCCTCCCAAAGGTGGAATTTGAACGCCGTCCTCCATCAAAATTATTCAGGTCTGCAGCACAAAATGGGCAATAGTTAAATTCTCGAACGTAGCGACCGGTTGAAGGCCCCATATTGTAATAGTAGTGTGCCACAGATCTGGGCCCAGAGGTGTGGGTTCAAATCCCACTGCTGGTACCATGCTGTAATACTGCAACACCCGAGATTGGTGGTAAGAGACTGAACTTCATCTCCTTGTTGCAATCACCTGACCTGGGTTGGGGTTACAAGGTTCACCCGAAAGAGGTCAGTGGTAGACCTGTGTGGAGGATGCCAGATCCATTTCATGAAGGATTTAGGGACTTTCACATTTGTCTTCATTCCAGTTAAGAATAAAACCTGAAAATTTCTAATTACTCCATGAAAGAAAACTCCAATTTTATTTTTTTTGGTCAATTAATTTTGTTTTGATTAACTTTTTTTTATTTTCTAGTATAATAGAATACATTTTTTTTAAAAAGTAAAGTTTTTTTTCAAAATGAAAAATCAAACCATTTTTTTGAAAAATATCCAAAAGGAACCTTGTTTTTAATGGTTGGAACTTTTTTGAGGGTTTTGTCCAAAACGAATCTTTGGTGAAATTGACACATTTCGGGAAAGGTTTTAACTTTGAGGAAACTGCATTCTCTGATGGAAAATGGGTCTGTCAAGATTTTTCTGACCAGCTCTAGTCCGTACCCACCCGTGGTGATGGTTACAAGTATTTTCTGAACCATCGGGGCCAGATAAGGTGTCCTGCTCTCAGCAGAGTGTGTGCGTCTGCCCTCCAGGTGCTACACTGATCTCTAGCCCCAGCAGTTTGCAAATGGACACTTTGCACGTGCAGCTGTTGGATTTTCAGGTACAAGTGCAAAGCTCCTGCGTGTGCAAATAGCCGTGGTTCACAAATACCAGGGAAGAGGGGGTGGGGGGAGATTGCCGGATGTGGTAAAAACATGTCCCATAAAATTGTTAATGGCTTGAAACTAAGCTGGTCTTGAGCAGATCAGCACAGTCTTTCCCCCTTCCATTTGCCCACCTTGAGCATCCCTTCCTGCTTTAAATGTTCACGGACTATCTAACACTCAAACCTGGTCTGAATCTGATGGGTCACTACAGGACAGATTCTCTGTCCCACGTGGATGGCGATGTGCCCCTTGCTGGCGGAGTTCCCAGCAGGTTGCCTTCCCTTCAGCCCCTTGTGCAGGGAATGGGGAGTCGGCATAGCCGGGGTGCGCTATGCTCCAGCTATCCTTAGCGGGCACGTGGTCCCCTGGAGACGGTTGCCAGGTCCTCTGTGAGAATGTACACTAGGCTGCTGCATTGCTTCACCATGAACCTGCTCTTCCCACCTTCCCTACGTGTGGGACGCCGGCCCTTTTAATGTGTTGGACTGATCCAAGTGAGGGTCACGTGCCAAAGGGCAGAGGGAGCTCCCGAAGGGAGTGGCATTACAGAGAAGCTGTCAAGTCAGTAGGATCGCTCGCGTGCAGCTGGCTGGCGACGCGTTCCTAGAGCCCCATGGCTGGAGCTGGGCCGAGGCTGGTCCCAGAGAGGAGGCAGTAAAGACCCCGGAGCGCTACTGCTGTCTAGTCCGATTGGAAATGCCAGAAGAGGAGGTGGGCAGGCTGGCGTGCCCAACTGGCAGATTGGGAAAGGGAGCCTGGGATCCCGTCTGCATCTGGCCAAGCGGGCAGGGACTAGAAGACGCCACCATCTGCTGATGGTTTGGTGGCGCGTGTGCAGTTGGTTCTTGGGGCTCAGTTCAGTCCCATAGCTGACTGCCTGGCTGGTAGGCTCAGCAGAGAGGCCAAGGATAGACAGGGCCCTGGAGTCTGAGCTCTCTCTACCCTGGAGGTGGTGCCTCCAGAGAGCACATTGGCAGGATGTGTGGGGGAGCTTTGCATCGCTGCTGCCCTGTCCTGGGTGTAAATAGGACTTCAGGCACCGGGGCTGTCCATGAGCAGGCGCAAAGGATTTGATCAGCCTAACCTCACTCCCATTGAAGCCAGCCGGAGTTCTGCCCTCTGCTTTGACAGGAGCAGAGTTGGCCAATGCCGCGCGTCTGACAGTCCCCACCCCATTACTAAATTCACAAGCTTAAACCAAAAAAGTGGCATTTCCTCTTTTTCGGAGATGGAAAAGATCAGAACTTGCTGCAAGAAACTGCTCCTCAGGCTCCTATGATGGTATCGCCAACGGGAATCTCTCTAGGTATATAGATCGCACTTGACGCTAAGGTTTCATCTCTGAAGGGTTAATAGATGCTTCAGTCAATGCCTGTCAGTTGTTCCAGATTGCTAGAGAGACCTCCGGTTGAGAGATTGCTTATCAACCATCCAGCACACTTTCTAGTGCTGTGCTGCAAGCCAGCTGTAGCACATACTACTCATGCCTGGAACACGCTAATAACATCTCTGAATAATTTAACCCTTTACAAAGGATCTTTAATATAAAGTGTGGCTGTTTTTTTAAAGCTGCTATTGAAAGAAATTATTCAGATTCTTTCAATGCCATTTCTTTAGGGCCAAGAGGGTCCGTGGCCCCCCCCCCCCCCGAGTGTGTGTGTGTGTGTGTGGTTGACATGGGGAGGAAGAGCTGCTCTTGTGTCTTGGAAGTCGAACCGTTCCTAGCAAAGAGGCAGGGAGCGTGGGCTGCTGCTTGCTCTGGGATGGAGCAGCTGGGGCTGGAGGGTTGACGGAGATGGTCACTGCTTTGCGCCTCTTCTCCTCAGATGACTCAGCTGATGAAAGCCGCCAGAAGCGGCACAAAGGATGGCTTGGAGAAGACGAAGATTGCTGTCATGCGCAAAGTGACCTTCTTGCACCGGAAGGAAGCCCCAGGTAACTGGCGCTGGGGCGGTCGGTGTCAGGTGCAAAATAACTGATTTTTACAGAAAGAAAAATCAAACTGAAAATACCAGAACTCCTTGCAATTCCTACGAATGACTGGGTGATCGCAATTTGATTTCCCCCCCCCCGCCTCTAACGTATGCTTTTTGCCTCCTTTTTGCACTCTCTCACGCTTGTGCTCTAGCGTGGAATTGCTCAGAGCATCTAAGTGACTTAGGCTCTTAAGTGTCTAACTTTTGAAGATGGGATTTAGGTGCTTGTGAAAACTTTGCCCCTTGCCTAGTGCAAGGCAGTTGTATCAGGGATTCCAACAGTGGGGGGCAAGTTTACATGTCAAACCTTTATATACCCTTTAAAAACACATCCCAGAATCCCTTTCCTATTTAGTTTTTCTAAAACCTATCAAAGCTTTCATGACTCTCAAGCTGGAGAGGCCATACGTTAAAAGCACCCTTCATTCAGGGCCGGGTTTTCCAAAGAACCCTTCTCCCAGTTAGATGCTGCTAAGTAATGGGCAGGTTTTCAAACAAACTCCGGTTGAGGGCTGTGCTCTTCCGAAAATCTTTGTGTCTTGACGGGAGCTGGTCATCTGGCCCAAATTCAGAGTGGGCAGCATTTGAAAAATCTGTCCCCTAATGGCCTGAATGTCTAAAGTGTTTATCTTCAGTAGGAGCGGTGGGCGCTCAGCACGTTTTGAGAAAACAAAGCCAGATGCTTCTGGCCTAAAATCTGTTTTGGTTAGTCATATTTTTTTTTTAAAGATAAAAATCACGTTCCTGTTTTATTTCATGCATTGCTTCTGCTGCTGTTACTAAACCAGAACAATGTGCTGGGGCAAAACCTTTTGCTGGAGTAACTAGCGTAACTTCCTTGGCTGGGTTGGCATTGCTGTCTGCAGAGGATTTGGCCCCTCGTGACTAAATCTGGATCATCCCCCGGTTGCCACCCGGGTCTGTTGTAATTCTGAGTGTTGCTGCTTATTTCCATGGAAACGACTGTGCCAAACCATATCCCTTCCGTTAGCCTTTTGGCGGCATGTGAAGGAGGAGAGAGGAAACCAGCTAGTGCAGGGGTAGGCAACCTATGGCACCCATGCCGAAGGCGGCACGCGAGCTGATTTTCAGTGGCACTCACACTGCCCAGGTCCTGGCCACCAGTCTGGGGGGCTCTGCATAGAATCATAGACTTTAAGGTCAGAAGGGACCATTATGATCATCTAGTCTGACCTCCTGTACAACGCAGGCCACAGAATCTCACCCACCCACTCCTGTAACAAACCTGTGTCTGAGCCACTGAAGTCCTCAAATCCTGGTTTAAAGACTTCAAGGTGCAGAGAATCCTCCAGCAAGTGACCTGTGCCCCACACTGCAGAGGAAAGCTAAAACCCCCCAGGGCCTCTGCCAATCTGCCCTGGAGGAAAATTCCTTCCCGACCCCAAATATGGCGATCAGCTAAACCCTGAGCATGTGGGCAAGACTCACCAGCCAGACACCTAGGGAAGGATTCTCTGTAGTAACTCAGATCCCACCCCATCTAACATCCCATCACAGGCCACTGGACATATTTACTGCTAATAGTCGAAGATCAATTAATTGCCAAAATTAGGCTATCCCATTATACCATCCCCTTTTAAAAATCTTATTTACTTTACATACAACAATAGTTTAGTTATATAATATAGACTTGTAGAAAGAGACCTTTTAAAAACATTAAAATGTATGACTGGCACGCGAAACCTTAAATTAGAATGAGTAAATGAAGACTCGGCCCACCACTTCTGAAAGGTTGCCGACCCCGAGCTAGAGTTTCGGTGGCGGAACTTTCTTATCTTCAGTCATGGGAGGGAAATGCTGAACTGGGGAGGTGCTGACATTGTGGGGTGCCCCTTGAGGGCACGGATCGAGTAACTAGCACCGCCTTGTTAAGTCAGGGATATTTAGTAGGGCTGGTCAAAAAGTTTCCATCAAGGTGTTTTCCCAGTGGAAAATAGGGTTTTCGACTAAACAAATTTTCATGGAAAATGTCTAGTTTTTGGCCAATTGTTTGACATAAATGTTCAGTTTCTGTTGAAATGTTCCACGGGTTAGTGGTGGAAGAAGCCCCATTTTCTAATCCGCTCTAATACTTGGTTCCAACCCGTAGCAAGTTGGTCCCAGTTGGCCTTCCTGGGCTGTGATCATGGGGACTGGGAAAGAAGTTGATCTTCATGAGCACTCTCGTCTTCCGAAGCAAACTGATCGATCAGTGAGCTGTCACCGTTGCCCATAGGGGTTGAGACTTTCAAAACCAACAGAGGGCACAGGCCACGCAACTCCTATGGAAATATAGACCGAGATGGATTCCTGAAGTCATAGAACCAGAGGGTTAGATGGGACCACAAGGGTCATCTAGTCTAACCCCCTTCCCGGATGCGGGATTTGTGTCTAAACCATCCAAGACAGATGCTCTCCAGCCTCCTTTTGAAAACCTCCAATGAAGGCGCTTCCACAACCTCCCTAGGCATCTGTTCCATTGTCCTACTTTTCTTATAGTTAGGAAGTCCCTGGCTTTGTAAAGCTGAGCCAGGGGCTATGAAGAGGAGTCCAGGGGTACAAATGGCGAGAAGCTAGCTAATCCCTCTGCTTCAGCTGTGTGGCTTCATATTTGACTTTCCTTTAAGATGGCCCATGCTGGGTCAGCCAGCCGCTCGGGTCCATTCAGTGTGCGTTTACACAGGAGCTGTACAAACACAGATCTGATGTGTTCCCTGCCCCAGAGACCTGAGGCCCAGATGTTTAAAGGGACTTAGCCACCCGACTCCTGTTGATTTCAGTGGGAGTTAGGTGCCTAAATAACTTTAAAAATCTGGGCCCATAGGACAGCACAGACAAAACACAAGGCAACAACATTTCCAGAGAAGGGAAGTGCATGGGTTGCTGATGAAGGGGAAACAAGGAGTCATTGTGGATAGTTCTCTGAAAACATCCACTCAATGTGCAGTGGCAGGCAAAAAAGCGAACAGAATGTTGGGAATCATTAAGAAAGGGAGAGATAATAAGACAGAAAATATCATCTTGCCTCCATGGTACACCTACATCTTGAATGCTGCGTGCAGATGTGGTTGCCCCATCTCAGAAAAGAGCAACAAAAATGATTAGGGGTATGGAACAGCTTCCATATGAGGAGAGGTTAATAAGACTGGGACTTTTCAGCTTGGAAAAGAGACGACTAAGGGAGGATATGGTAGAGGTCTATAAAATCAGGACGGGTGTGGAGAAAGTAAATAAGGAAGTGTTATTTACTCCTTCTCTTAACACAAGAACCAGGGGTCACCAAATGAAGTTACTAGGCAGCAGGTTTAAAACAAAAGGAAGTATTTTTTCACACAATGTACAGTCAACCTGTAGAACTCCTTGCCAGAGGATGGTGTGAAGGCCAAGACTATAACAGGGTTCAAAAAAGAACTAGATAAATTCATGGAGGACAGGTCCATCAATGGCTGTTAGCCAGGATGGACAGGGATGGTGTCCCTAGCGTCTGTTTGCCGGAAGCTGGGAATGGGCAACAGGGGATGGATCACTTGATGATTACCCGTTCTGTTCATTCTCTCTGAAGCACCTGGCATTGGCCACTGTCGGAAGACAGGATACTGGGCTAGATGGACCTTTGGTCTGACCCAGAATGGCAGTTCTTATGTTCTTAAGGAATTTAGTCCAGCCAATCAGACTCTGCTAATGCTTCTCACGTTATATAGGGAATGGGGAACACAGGAGCAGGGCAGTGCAGATGGAAAAGGTGCGATATCCCCTGTGGGCTTCAGGGATCCCAATGGAACTTCCAGAGCAAGGGAGGATTCTAGTCCGTGTGCTCTGGACTCAGTTCAGTCCAATGAGACGTGCCTGGCATAACGAGCTTTGTGAGAGCTGCTGAAGCATAAGAAAGAGGCAGACAGGTTGGGTGTCTGTAAGAGCAGCGTGATCCACCCAAGGTTTGGCTACCAGCGGTATTTGGGGTTTGATCCCCGGTGTCCATTTGCTTCTCCATCTCCCAGAAGGAGTGGATTGTATAATGGTTAGAGCAGAGCGCTGGGAGTCAGGAGTCCTGGGTTCTAGTCCCAGACTCACTGTATGACCTTGCAGCAAGTCACTTCCCCGCTTGCTGCCTCAGTTTTCCCCATCTGTGAAATGGGGATAATGCCAAACACACAGGTGTTGAGAGTTAAATTGCTAATTGCTTTGAGATCCACAGCCAGAGGGTGCTATAAACAGTGCAGACGGGTCCGGTTGTTAGCTGGGCCCTGTGTATCTGCATGGAGAGTGGTGTTGTGTCCAAGCACAGGCCATGCTGTAACTAGAGAATGTCACATGTCTTTAAGGGTCTTAGAGGGTGATTAAATAGCTGGGGGAGTAAAGGAAAAGGAGTCTGAGCAGCACGTAGGGTTACCCGATGGGTCGTGACCGAAGTGAATGGCTGCTTCCTGTCAAGGGAAGAGACGTCCTAGGTGACAAATCTAGTTAGGGATAAACCTGGCTGTCTTCTGCCATCCTATGCCCTCCCCCCACCATAGGCGCCAACTTCTCCTGGCACTGGTGGGTGCCTGCCCCGCCCTCATTCCAACCCCTTCCCCAAATCCCCGCCTCCTCCCCTGAGCGTGCCGTGTTCCCGCTCCTCCCCCCTCCCTCCCTCAGCTTGTTACAAGGGCTGGGGGGAGAAGGGGGGATGCGGTGCGCTCAGGGGTGGAGGTGAGGTGGGGGGGAGGGGGAGCTTGCTCTGCACCCACCAATTTCTCCCCAGGGGTGCTCCACTCTGGGAGCACCCACGGAGTCGGCACCTATGCCCCCCCCCTCCGTGCAAGGGGCTGGGGTTCGGCTTCGGAGCCCAGCCGCCTGCCACCTGACCCAGAGCATGAGGCGCTCCCCGAGAGCAGCGTCCGCGCAGAGATGGGCCCATCCCTAGCTGCGATTGGACTCTGGGCAGCCGGGGCTGGAGCCGAGCGACAGCGAGCTGAGCTGCCCTTCCAAAATTAGGGAAGGAAAAAGGTCACTCGGGAGTTGTGAGCCAAGCAGCTGCTGTATTCCTGCAGCCCTCTGATCCCCCTCCCTATCTCCACCCACACAAGCCCAGAGCGTCCCCAGCAGTCGCCCTTCCTCCCGAGGCTATTTATATCCATAAAGCCAGAATGGGGGGGGGAAGAGGAAGTTGACAGGCAGTGCTTGCGGGAGAATGCAGCGGGCAGAATGTGGAGGAAACGGTGCTCCATTGAAAAAGACTATATTCTCACCTCCTCCTCCTCCTCCTCCTCTTCGGTCTCTGCCTCAGGTAAGGGGAGGTTTGTCTCTCTAGGCTTCCCCTTCTCAGGTAGGTTCGGTTCCTGTCGCCTCTGCTCTCCAATCTTGCTCACTCCTTCCTGCTTCTCTCTGCACGGGGTTCGTTATTCCTCCCCTTACCCGCTTTGCTTGGGTTTGATTTCTGAAGAAGCCATGAGGAACAATGGAAAAAACCCAGTGGTCCGCTGCTCGGATCATTCTGTTCAGCCCCTTGGCAGGGTCCTGAGATGGGAGGCTGGTTGGAGCTTTGCAGTATTAAATGGGTTTAAACCCCCAAGTGAGTTTGATTTCCCTGCTACAGGCGTTTGGGTGCTTGGCTGCCCATGACATTCGGGGCAGACGGGGCACTCGGCTCGCTGGTCCTGTGCCCTCCGGCTGGGGATAGAGCCAGGGCTTGGCTCTAGCAAACCCAAAGGGAATTCGTTCCAGGCTGAGATCTCCATGGTTCTCCAGTCCCTACCTCTCAAATTCCTTGGGCTGATTAATGCAGCCCAATGGTATCTGGTGTCAGCATTCAGGGTTTCCTGTAAGTCCCGACTTGGACTAAGTAGTTGTGCAACATACTGCTGCATAGAGAAGAACCCTCTGCTCCTTGAACCAACTGTGGCAATGAACAGAGCCCCAGCCACCCGGGCAGACGGTTTACTCTTCAGTCCCAGGGCCATGCTTGAGCTATCCATTCTGCTGACCGGTGGGTCGGAGCAGCGTGGGGTGCATCTCCACCCAGGGGAATGTCTAAGACCTAGGACGAGACCGGCGTATTCAAGTTTCTAGGTTCGTTCTTGATGCCAATAGAGAGAAAAGGCCAGTGCGTTAACCACCGGGTTACCAGCCCCCTCCATGGCAAGGGTGTGTGCGTGGTGGGGGTGAGTGCAGGCTGGACAAACACTCTGGATGTTCTGAGCGCCAGCGCTGTCTGCAGCCTGGGAGAGGCCGTGGCGCCCGCCCCAAAGCGCTTGTGATCTGAATGGTAGGCGTCTAGAGCCCTCCAGAATGCAGGGGCAGGATGTTCAGCGGACACGTGTGCTCTTCCCCCGCTGTAGGAAGCTTTAAGACACACCCATGCAAGATACTAGCCGTTGGTCCTTCTGCTTGGGCTACGCTTTGCTGGGCGCGCCACTCAGGTGTTCGTTGCTTGTGCGTTTTGTCTTCCAGGTGACTCTGAGGAGGAAGACATGGGGTTCCTGGAGGTCACCGTCTCGGACATGAAACACCCGCCTCCCGAGCTCGGCCCCATGCCGGATGGATTAAGCCCTCAACAGGTCTGTGGTAGGGTGAAGGCGCTGAGTACATGGGACTTGACCTCCCCTGGTTGACTGACTGCCCCCGGTAGGATGGTGGTGATGTTGAGAGCTGTCCCTTTGATCCAGAGCTGGTCTGCCCGTGGAAGCCTCTTTGCAAAGTTGCTTTTATTTCAAAGGGTCCGAATGGGGCTTGTTTTGTGCCGTTTTTCTTTTGCTTTTTTGAATCTTTGATTGAAGCCTTTATCAAAAACGTCATTTAAATGGTTAAATATCGAGGGGGCGGAGTAATTATTGGCCAAAGAGCATCTTTTTCATGAAAACAAAAGATGTCGACTGCCCGATTTTTATGGGAAAAATTAGATTGCCTAAAAAAGGCCACTTTTGGACAAAACGTTTGGAAAATTTCAGCTAGCTCCATTAGATGTAATGTTTGGAACCCCGAGATTGATCCCTACCAGGTTTCAGCGAAAGCTCCTTGACATTAACAAATATCTGTCTCTGTTCTGTAGGAGTTAAACAATCCCCAGAGGCTTGCCATGTGCGAGCTTCCCCTGCTGGTCACAAATCTGTGGTCACAAGTGAGGTTGAACCATCCAGTAGCTTAACTTGTGAAGCATCCCATTGCTTGAGGCTTATCTGAAATTACCTGATCTTCTGGCAAGAACCCCAGCCAGCATGGCTCCTTCCATTGCTTCCCGTTAAAATAAAATAAATGGAGATAGGTATATCTCATAGAACTGGAAGGGACCCTGAAAGGTCATTGAGTCCAGCCCCCTGCCTTCACTAGCAGGACCAAGTACTGATTTTGCCCCAGATCCCTAAGTGTCCCCCTCAAGGATTGAACTCACAACCCTGGGCCAATGCTCAAACCACTGAGCTATCCCTCCCCCCTGTTATCTGCTGTAGCTCTCTCCAAGGGTTGGCGGGATCTTCTGGGGAGGAGAGGAGGGCTGTTTACCTCCGCTTGGTCCTCTCCAGCACAGCAGAACCCAGTGGTACTTGGTTACCTGTCTCCATGATTTGTGGCACACTGGAGATTGTGGGAAGTCCATCTTGGTGCATGTGAGGTTCTCACAACCTGCAGGGGGCGCTCTGAGGGTGCCTGGGGGTTGGAAGCACCAGAACATCGCTACATCTTAGAGCATTAAGTGTAGTAAACCCAAGGGGAGGGATGCTGGGCTCTGCTGTGCTTGGGAGCTGGAGGAACATGTTTTCATCTAGTGAGGGGCCCAAGAGGATCAACGGCTGTAGACACACAAGTATGTGTGGAGCCTTTACCAGACTTCTTCAAACTTGCCAATACGCTGGAGTTCAGCTGGTCTCATTCCCCCCGTGTGTTTTTTGTAGCTGTGGGTTGAGTAACTAAATTGCCTCACCACCGTCCAATCTGCCCCAAAAAGATGAGTCCGCAAAATAGCTCCACATCGCTCTGCTGTAGGGTGACCAGATGTCCCGATTTTATAGGGACAGTCCTGATTTTTGGGTCTTTTTCTTATATAGGCTTCTATTACCCCCCACCCCCTGTCCCGATTTTTCACACTTGCTGTCTGGTCACCCTACTCTGCTGGGTCCTAGCACCAGGCAGCATTGTGAGTGAGCAAAATAGCTCTGCTTCTGTGAGTGGATCTACAGCCTGACACCTTGTCGCTCTTTCTTCCCCCAGCCCCTTCCCTTTTTCTTTCCTCCCACCGATATCTGTGAAGATGTGCATGTTCTGTGATGTGGTGCTAAGGGTGTGTGTGTGTGTGTGTGTGTGTGTGTGCGCGCCCATATGCTGATGGAGGGGCTCTGCACCCATTTCTGACAGTGACCCTGGTGTGGGTGTTGCAGGTGGTGCGACGTCACATCCTGGGCTCCATCGTGCAGAGCGAGAGGAGCTACGTGGACTCGTTAAAGCGGATTCTCCAGGTGACGCCAATCTTAAGCCCATCTGAGTCACCCACCCTAGCACAGACAGACTACAGACATCTGTGAATGGGAGGGGCGGGGAGGATGGGATAGACGGGAACAACTCCTCATCCCCCTTAGAAATCTTAATAGGGAAGGAAGGGGGCGGGAGAGAACCTCAGGGAGACTGATCTCTAGGCAGAGGTGAAAGTGAGCTGGTACGGCGGACGGGCAATAGCCGGTACGCCATGCTGGACCGGCCCAGCTTCCCCAGGCTGGTCATTTAAAGGGCCCGGGGCTCCCTGCAGCGGCCGGAGCCCAGAGGCCTTTAAATCGCCTCCCGAGCCCGGCTGCCAGAGCCCCGGGGTAGCGGCGGCAGGGCTCTGTTGGCGATTTAAAGGACCCGGAGCTCCGCTGTGGTAGCCAGAGTCCCAGGCCCTTTAAATTGCCCCTGAGCCCCGGGCTCCCAGCCACTTCTGCAGCTGGCAGCTCCGGGGGTGATTTTAAAGGCCCTGGAGCTCTCAGTCGCAGGATTTAAAGGCCCCGCCTCTTCCGGGTGAGGCCACGCCCCTGCTCAGGACTCCGGCGTACCGGTAAGTCCTTTAACTTACTTTCACCCCTGTCTCTAGGTAAGATGATGGAGTAGCCATGACAGCTTCTGGACTTGGCTACCTGCTGGGGGGGAGGGGAGCCTTGACTCTGCAGTGCTGTGGGACTTGCTGCTGTAGGGTTGGGCTGTAGAATTGAAGCTTTTGTTAAAAAGAGAATTAAGTTTCCACCACTTCCGGTTACAAAGAGAGCCTGTAAAGAAAGCCCTGAGTGTAACAGATGCCGGGACGCCTGCCTGAGTCTTCAGACAGCCTTAAACAGTAGTGCTGAGTAGTGCGAACTGCCTCCAGGCAGCTAGGTGGGTTGTTAACTCTGAAGCCTAATGATAACAATTTAAACGGCTACATTAAACCGTTTCACTGCTGATCATTTAGTAGAAGCATCCAGCAAATGTGCTAATCGTGCAGTCCTAAACTAGGCTCCAGATTCTCCCTTCCCGCCTCTCTGAGCCCCACGGCTCACGTGACTTCAACGCACAATCTCTGTAGCTCACTGAAAATTCAGGGGCACCATAAAATTAATCACACATCCGATTAGACAATGCAGGGAATGTGCCATGGATCGTTTGATTCACCCTCCCACCCACCCTCCCCGCACCCAGGGAACTCTGTGGTGTTTTCCGTTTAAAAAAAACTGATCCGAAGTTGCCACAAAGCGGGGACCCTGCTGCTGAGTTTAGGTCAAGGTAGCCATGGCGCATGGAGGGCTTTGGCCAAGAGACACAAACTCGTTAACGTTTGCAAAGCACAGCGAGGGCTGTGAACGGCAGGGGCCATGAGAACACGAAGGAGGAGCAACAACGGGGAACAATGTGGGAAAACTGCCGGAGTGAGCCGGGGGAGGGAGAGGGTTTTAAAAATCATCAAACCGGTTCAGTATGGTAGGGCTGATGGGTTCCAACCGGGAGCAGGGTCCCCTGGTGCGAAGTGCTGGACGGACCTGAGGTAAGAGTTGGTCCCTGCTCGGAAGAGCTTACAGGCTAATAGACAAGCCATCAAAGAGCACGAGCGAGGGAGCAGCAAAATCCCTGTTTCACAGCTGGGGAGCTGAGATGTGACCATTAAGGCTGGGAAGGTCACAGGGGGACACCCAACTCATTTGGGCTCCTCTGACGGGCGGGATCCGGGGCGGCGAGGGCGGGAAAGTCTGTTTAAACCCTCTCCTGTGGCTTACAGGATTACAGACACCCCCTGATGGAGATGGAGCCCAAGGCCCTCAGCGCCAGGAAGTGCCAGGTGGTTTTCTTCCGCCTCAAGGAGATCCTGCACTGCCACTCCATGTTCCAGATCGCCTTGTTCTCCCGCGTGGCCGAGTGGGACGCCACGGAGAAAATTGGGGACCTCTTCGTGGCCTCAGTAAGAGATGCCCTTCTGGAGCGAGGTGGCGGGGTTCCCTCCCCCGCGCACGTCCTCTTCCCACCCCCAGCATGCCAAAGCCGCCTCCAGGCAATGACGTAGGATATAAAATGCACGAGTGTCCTCTGTCAATACCCTTCCATCTGGACCTTCCCAGCATCCCCTATTCCATCCCGGGCCCCCACTCCGCTCTACGGAGCTTCCACACCCACTGCTGCCAGCTCTAATCCACTGGGAACCTGGGTTATTGCAATAGGCACCGTGTAGACGAGACCATGGCAGCGCGAAGGCCATGGGCAGGTTTTAAGAGCAGCTGCCATAAGCGGACCAATGAGGGGGAAGCCTGGGAGAGCACCATTTGATTTTTGCTGGTTCGCTTGATCAAATGGGGCCAGCCCACGGGAAAGGCTTGGCGTCTTCAGGCAGGTTCCAAGCTTCGCTGTCCTAGGCCCACCTGGGCCAATGTACCGTGTATAGAACTGCCTTGTGCGCCCTGCCTTGTGCATGATAGCGAGTTCGATGGCTGCAGCCCCATTGCCAATACAGGGGTCCTTCTATCCTCCACAGCAGTTCACGCGGCACGGGGTGCTCACCTTGTTTATGGGGGGCTGGAATGTGGGTGAAGGCATCGGGGTCCCGTAGCTCTGGCTCCTTGGAGCAGCTGCCGGAGACGAGTTACGCTCAGTTTAGCTTGTCGTACGAATTCCGGCGTCTCCGACGGGGCAATCCCGGGGACGACCTCGCTCAGAGCTCTGCCGAGTGTTGATGCCGAGTACAAGCCCAAATCTTGGCGGAGAACTTGAACCCGCAGTCTTCTGGCCTAGACGCGAGTGTTAGCAGCTGACCCCCATGAATTTGTCCATTGCAAGGAAGTGGGAACGCCCCGTATCATCCTCCCGTCTGCGGGGTGTGGCAGTCCCAGCGCCCCTCTTATTCTGTGTTTGATGGCGGTAACCTCCTTGCAGGTTGAAATGAAAGCTCTGGGTTTCAGGATGGACTTTCTGAATGCAGATGCCTCGGGAGGGGGAGGAGACAGGTTTGCAAGCTGTGAGCCGCTGGCAGTCTGCAGTGAGCTGTCGAAGTCATGTGCTGCTGGCTTCTCTTCAGCTCTAGGTGCTAAGTAAGGAGACGCTGGATCTGACTCTCCCCTCTCTCTCCTGTCTGTCTGGTTATTTGTGCATGCGCCAAGTTTTCCAAGTCGATGGTGCTGGATGTGTACAGCGATTACGTGAACAACTTCACCAACGCCATGTCTGTGATCAAGAAGGCCTGTCTCACCAAGCCCGTGTTCTTGGAGTTCCTCAAGGTCAGTGGAAGAGTCAGGAAAGGCTGCACCTGTCACCATCTGGCAGTTGGCCTGCACGGGGCTCTGCTTGCGACAGGGCTGTCGTAAGGGTCGATGTTCCCAGGAACAAGCAGAGGCTGCAGATGGAGAGAAGATGCATTTCAAACTACTCGGTGAATCACTTAGCAGAGGTCACCGGTACCCAGGACTTTACTGCTCCGGGAAGCCACCGGACAGGTAGAAAGGATTTTCCCGCTCTGCGTCCTGTCTGCACTGTCTGATGCCTCTCTATACAAAGGGTTGGGTTTCCAGAACCATGTGGTGGTCTTCACCTGCACAGTAGCCGTTCTGCTCTTCTCAGATGAGGCTGTGGTTGCACTGAATGATGCTGGCTTCTAGCCCCTATCCGCTGGCCCCGTACCTTACCCTTGCAGAATACCCACGTCTTCCTTTCTCACTGGGCTTGGATTCTCACCCCAGAACGAAGCCGGGGGCACCATCAGTTGAGTGCCACCCGCCTGATCTCTAAGTTCAGGACCGATGCCAACGTGGTGCACAGTCACTGACCGTCCCTTCAAACCCTGCCATATTGGTACCCTACCCATCTCTTAATGCTGGCATCTTTCCCTTGCCAGGCATGTGCCACGAAGACCATTATCTGCTAACGCCGCATTTGAGTGAAGTTAGGCAGAGAGTAGCTAGCCAGAGCAACAGTTTTGCTGCCAATGAAAACCACTGCAGGAACCCAGGGTCCTGAGTGAAGCCGGGCTCAGAGCAGTGGCGGGGGAGGATGGGTTAGTTATTCCAGCTCTGTAGTATCTCTCGCTGATCTAACCTCAGACAAGAGGGTGCGGTGGGTGAGGGAGGGAGGAATGAAAATGGAATGAGCGAGGGCCGGAGTGGAGGAGTAAAAAGCGAAGAATCCCACCCAGATCCATGGCTTGGGGAGGTGCTTGGCATGGGGTGGGTGGGTGAGGGGGGAGAGAACAAACGGTGAGGGGTTTCTGCTCTGGGTGATCCTGGTTGAAGTGCAGGTGGTAGAGGGTGGTTCTTGTCTCGACAGAAGCGGCAGATGACAAGCCCTGACCGGGTCACGCTCTACGGGCTGATGGTGAAGCCCATCCAAAGATTCCCTCAGTTCATTCTGCTGCTGCAGGTACCTTAAACTGGAGTCTGCGCTCTTACTGGGGGGTTGGGGGAGAAAGGGATGGAGCCACCGGGCAGGGAAGTGGCCAGATCTCAGGGCTGGCAGGATGGGGACAGTCAGTCTGGTGTCTCTGAGTCAGCACCTCAGCTGGCGTAATTCCACAGGAGTCAGCGAAGTGATGTGGGTTTACATCCTCTGAGTCCCTTGACGTGCTAGAAATTCCATCTGAAACCCACTCCCAGGGTCAGGAGTGGCGGAAGCTCCGTAAAAGTGTGGGGGGGGCCACTGGCGCCCAAACCATGGCCCCATCCCCCGTGCCGCCTCTTTACCCCAAGGCCCTGCCCCCTGCTCGCTCCTCTCTGCCCCCGAGGTCCCCCCTCTCGCCCTTACGTCTGTTAAAAAGTGATGGGGCCTGACCCCCCCTTCCCTCCTTTTCCGGCGCCCCTGCCCAGGGTTTAGCCGAGGCTGGCCACTCCCAGTGTCTGGATGTGTATAGAAGAGCTCTGTGACGGGTTCCCCCAGGATGCCACTTACAACTGAGGTACCACCGAGCCCGCCTGACCCACCAGCCTGGGCTCCTTTCACACTGTGGTGCCGTGATAAGTTGCCAAACTCTCCAGGCTCTTTCACCAGCACACACACAGGTAGGGACACACCCAGCTGCAGGTTCACACACATGTGGAGATCAGCTCTGCATGGGAAGGCTCAGCTAAGGCACCCCCCAGTTGCTAAGGCATTCCCCCCCCCGGAGTGTAAACCCCAATTTATACCGTCTTGCGCTGCACAGGGAACTGTACAGCGTAAGCTCATGAATTTCGCCCCCTCCCTCAATGTGGAGGAAGATGTGTAACAGCTTTCTGCCCCAAGTATGATTTCCACCCTGGTTTTAGACCAAACAAAACCAAGTTTACTAACTACAAAACCGCAAACTGAGCTTAGCATACTAGACAGGTAGGATATGAAGTAGCAAATTCTTACCCTGAGTGATACAGGCTGGCAGATTCTTAAGGCACAAACTGCCTTGGCTTTCCCAGGTTTTCATACACCGGCTAAATATCCCTCTAGCCTGGGAACATCACTTCCCCCAGTTCAGTCCTTGTTCCTCAGGTGTTTCCAGGTGTGTTGTTGTAGGGAGAGTGAGGACCGCCCATGATGTCATTTTCCCCCTTTTATATCTTCTTCCCACTTGTTGGAAAGCTCTTTTGCTGTGACCTGGGTCAAACAGTTCCCATGGTGTACAGCTATCTCTGAGAGGTTTCTGTTGCACACTGTTCTGGGGTAATCCTTGTGCTTGTGTGCATTTCCTCAATTCGCCATTAACATTGCTTGGCCTTTTTACTGTTGTACCTGAAAGGCTGCTTGTGAGTGGCTTTTTCAACCTCCCACATAGCGAAACTTCTTAACTTCACACACGCCGATAGCACATACAATCCAACGAGATATTACTGTCTAGCAGATCAAGACTCTTAGAATGATCCCTCACAAGGCGCACTTTGTACAAACGTATCCTAACGACACGACAGTGGTGAATATTGGGGTGCCAGGGTGTCACAAGCTCCCACTCAGCAGAGGTTCTGCCATCGGGGCCCCTGAGCTCAGCACGGTGGGAGAACGAAACAAAATCAACGCCTCTTCCTCCCACTTCTTCGTGCCTGGGGAGCATGAAGCCGCCAGGCGAGGGACCTGCGCAGGGCAGTTGAGCCTCCTGGGGCTCCACATTGTGCCTTGGGGGAAGAGTCCGTGGTGCGTTGATCACCCTGGCGGCCGCAGAAAGTGTCCCTACGTGTACGCAGGTGGGCGGCTGCTGCTCCCCAAGTCTCTGCGCAGTCCAGGCCTGTCTAAAATCCAATTGTTTTCAGGAGTGCTGCTTGGGGGTGAAAATCTGAGTGCCGTGCCGTCAGGGGCTCCCTCCGGCCCACAGCTTGGCCTGCCTGTGATCTCCCTCCCTGGTGACTTGATTTTCCTCTCTCCCTCTTTCACCCCAGGATATGCTGAAGAACACCCCGAAAGGCCACCCGGACAGGCTGTCGCTCCAGCTCGCCCTCACCGAGCTGGAGACGCTGGCGGAGAAACTCAATGAGCAGAAGCGAGTGGCCGACCAGATGGCTGAGATCCAGCAGCTGACCAGGAGCGTCAGTGACCGCAGCAGCCTTAACAAGGTGGGGGCTTGAGCTCCTGAGCGACGGGCAGGGCTCAGCGTCTCTGGTCGGGAAACTCCCCTTCCCCGCTCTGCCCACTAGATGACAGTGTGTGTACGTGAATAGCTTCGGAACCCCTACCCCAGCTGTAGCCTATGGCAGAGGATGGCTGGAAAGGGTGGTTCTCTCCTCTCCCCAAATGTTTGTTCGAATCCATTTCTGGCTGGGCACAAAACTCTCCCTAGTTTAGGAAGCTACCTGCTCGGGCTCTAGCCAGGTGTGTGCACCTACTTGCTAACAGCATCTTCGCTGGTGCCGGGCAGGAAGGCACTGGTCCGGGGAGGTCAGACTAGATGGTCCCTGTGAATCTGCTTTGCCCATTCGGTTGGGGTAAGGGAGAGGGAAAGCCTGGACTGAATATCTGAGGCCCCCGGAGCGGATTCTGCCTACGACCATGGTGTGGAGAAGACCATCTACTAGGTTGGGTTGTGGCTGACGTGTCCCTTGGTCAGAAGAATTCCCAGTTTCTTTCTCTGGTGATCCATGGTGCTGTCCTCTGGCTTACAGTGCTAGGATCAAAACGTCTTCCTTCCTGGATCCTCCTCCTCCCTTCACCCAACATCCTTCCCACGGTCGCCTGCTGAAGTCGCTCGCTGTTTGTGTTTCACCCCCATACACCTGCTCTCTGCGAGGGAACCGTTAGTGCCACACTGCACCCCTTTGTCCTCTGTTCTCATGGCCCCACTTGCTGGCTTTCACGCTACCCTTGGCAAGTTGGACGTGGCTTTGTCCTTTATCTGCTCAGCTCCGCGTCTCAGGGCTGGCCAGGATGATGGTCTGGCCAGCCTGTGGCATCTAGCCCTGAGTGTTGGCTCTCGAACAGATCTCTGGAGCCTGGATGGTGTTGTCTGAGCGGGACCCATACTCGAATCCCTCCGATTTGACCGCGCTCTCCTGCTCCGGAGCTGAACTCTGCAGCTCGGGTTCATCAGTTTAAAATCCATCTCAAACTTCCTTGGCTGGCTGGCATCTGCCTGGCTGTCTGCAAGGGGGCTTCTGCCAGGAAGCCTGGGCGCAGTGACCAGGCAGTGTGCCTGGGCATGCTCTCTGCCAAAGGAAGGGATGGAGGCTGTGTCTTATTCCAAGTGAAAGCTCCGATTTGAGAGCACCTCGAACGCATCAAGACCTGGGGATGGGTCGTCCGTGGCTTCTGATAAACTCTCCCTTTTCAGGCTGCTGTTACCAGCTCAGTTCAGCCCAGACAGTCCAGCCCAACCAGGGCCTGGGTTTGCGGCTCCTTAGCCTGGGTTCGCGGCTCCTTAGCCAGCTGTGTGAGCACTTGGGCTGCTCCAGTACCCATCCTTGCCATTTCAAGTGCTGCTGGGCATTGAATGGGAGGCCGGGGCAGTGCACTGGTGCCGGCACCAAGGTTCATCTGAGCCGGCTAAGTGCAGTGACAGCCCAGCTAGGCTGGGTGGCAGTTCAGAGTGCAAAGTGTGGGGGCATTTGGGCTTAGTATGGGTGGGAAGAGAGTGAGGCGAGGGAGCCCGCTGTGTCCCCCAGCTAAGCACGCCCCTCCTCCCCCATAGATTGGACTCTACATGTTGGGGAGGGGGGCAGGTGGAAGACCTCATGGAGAGGGCAGGTTGCCAGCACGTAGCTCATCTGCTGGGCCATGGGGGTGCCGCAGGGAATGCCCCATCTCCTTGGCCGACCTGTAAGTTTCCCCAGCCCGGCAGGCTCCTGTCAGGTGGGGCTTACAAAAGATGGGTCAAAGCACCAGGGCAATCCCTGGAAACAGGGATGTTACCCTGCTAACTACCTGGCTGGTAACGGGGCTCTTCTGCCTACTCTAGCATGGCACAGGCCGGTCCGTGCTGAGGTGACTGCCGATGGCTGCTGCAGCTCAGAGGCCGCGTGGGGCAGCCCGCATGGATTGCTGGTCTCCTGTCTCTCAGATGGGCGGGGGGCCTGTACGACTCTCGGCCAGGCTAACTGGCATCCAGACGCTGCGTTATTGCTCAGAGTCTCTGGTTAACATGAAATCGAAGAGCACTGGGTGGAAATCCCCCTGCCCTCGGCGTTTACTCCTTGAGAGGAGAGAGACTGGAAGTCAGTCAGCGAGATTTCGAAATAGCCAGGGCCAGGCATTTGCAGAACATCGTGTGACTGGGCAGCGCTGGGGCTGAGCGGTGGCACAATCTGCTCTGCAGAGGAAATGAAAGCAAAGGGACTCGTCCTGCAAAGCGGGGGACTTTCGGGCTCTGAGACTTGCTGCTGCGGGTTTTAAAACGTAGCGTAGATGGACCCTCAGTCATTGGCACTGTCCACCTTTCCCCCCCGCAGCTGGGCTCAGAGACTCCGGGACCGAGGAACAAAGTTCTGAAGTGGCCCCTGAGCCCGGTTCTGCTGGGTTGTAGCTCAGTGTACTGTTGCTGCTGTGCTGTGGAGTCCTATTGGTTACATCTCTGTACTGGAGCAAATAGTTACTGTAATGAATCCGTTAGGGCTGCTGTCTCTGCTTTGTGCACTGGGCCCGCTCCGAACTGCACGGCAGAACTCCGATCCTCCTGCTCTGAAAGCCCAGGCCCCTTGAGCTAAAGGAGAAACCCCAATAGTTGTTAGCAATATAGGGCCTATGACACAGAGCTGAGCAGTTCTGATTCCGTTCAGCAGGGGGCAGTGGTGCGCATGCACGTGATTAGCTAGGTTGTTCCCCTATCTTCTTCTTTCCTAATAAAGGACCTCCTTGCGCTTTTTCCTCTGCAGCTGCTGAATTCAGGGCAGCACCAGCTGCTGCTTTGCGAGACCCTGACGGAGACGGTTTACGGGGACCGTGGCCAGCTGATCAAATCGAAGGAGCGCAAAGTGTTCCTGCTGAACGACATGCTGGTGTGCGCCAACATCAACTTCAAGTACGTTGGCAGCATTCATTTCCTCCGGGAGCCCGTCATAAACGTTGTCCCCGCAGCCCTGGAGGAATCCGCGGGGATATACTATCAAGGTTCCACACAAGGAAATCCAACTAAAAAAATGGAGGCCGACCTTTATAAAGCGCCGCCTCTGTTGTGTCTCCAGGAAAACCACTGGCATCTCTGCTGGGATTTGGCATTTTTCTTTGCAGTCGTTCTGGCAACCTTGGGTCAAATGGATCCCTGGTGTAATCCCATTGGCTTCGACAGAGTTATACCAGTGATAAATTATGGGCCGTTTGACTTTAAAATATGCCTTTGATTGCACTTTCCCAGCATTGGCGAGTTACCCAAGAGCTGCTGCAGAAAAGCTCCATTATGTGGCTATAAACATGTAGGTGTTAGAACAGTGAAAATGGCCCAGTAAATTGCCAGTCGCTGCTGCGGTTAGCTGCAGCAAACTGGGATAACCTACAGCCCTGCACTGTCTGCCTGCAGGTTTGCTGTGCAAGCTTGTCTAGCCTGGATCCCCGTGTAGTCTCTTACTGCAGAGTGCTGCCCTGGGCCCCCGACAATCATAATTTGCCTCCTAATATTTTACCTATCATGGTTACAGCCTCTGGGTCGAGCTCCTTGGGTTAAGAGAATGTGGTGACTGAAGCCCTATAGTGCATAATAATCGACTGGAGTAAAGATTTAAGGCTAAAACTTTTCAGCGTGGATGTTTGAAGTTAGGCACTTAAAGAAGACATTGATCCGCTCTGCTCAGCCTCTGTTTTTGGGCCCCACAAAGAAGTTAATGTATTAGAGACGGGGGGGCCAACCTGAGCCTGAGAAGGAGCCAGAATTTATCAATGTACATTGCCAAAGAGCCACAGTAATACGTCAGCAGCCCCCCATCAGCTCCCCCGCTCTAGCGCTTCCTGCCCACTGGCAGCCCCCATCGATCAGCACCTCCCCCTCCCTCCACGCACCTCCCGATCAGCTGTTTTGTGGCATGCAGGAGGCTCTGGGGGGGAGGGAGAGGAGTGAGGGCACGGCAGGGGAGGGGGCGGGAAGGGGTGGAGTGGGGGCAGGGCCTGTGGCAGAGCCAGGGGTTGAGCAGTGAGCACCCCCGACACATTGGAAAGTTGGTGCCTGTACAAGGAGCCGCGTATTAACTTTTGAAGAGCCGCATGTGGCTCTGGAGCCCCAGGTTGGCCACCCCTGTCTTAGAGAGAGACCAGAGGAGAGCAGCGAAAAGGTTTAGAGAACGTGACGTGGGAGGCAAGGTTAAAAGAATTGGACCTGTTTAGCCTTGAGAAAAGAAGACTGAAGGGGAAACATGATAACAACCCTTTACTGTTGTCAACAGAACAGTGATCAATTGTTCTCATTGTCCACTGAGGGTAGCACAAGACGTCATCGGCTTATGTTATTTTATTTTTTTTGCAGCAAGGGAGATTCAGGTTCGATATTGGGAAAGTACTTTGCAACTCTAAGGAGAGTTAAGCACTGGAACAGGTTACCTAGGGAGGCTGTGGGATCCCCATCACTGGAGGTTTTTAAGAACAGGTTGGGCAACTCCCTGTCCGGGATGGTCTAGATTTACTTGGTCCTGCCTCAGCGCACGGGGAAGGACTAGGACTCCAGCCCGAATCTTCTATCATTCTATAAGTAGCTTGATTTCCAAAGGTGCTGAGTGCCCCTTTGCAGCTGCCTGAATGTGCATTTCCACACCTGAATCAGAACACTTTGCCCTAAGGGATTTGCCTAAGAATTCAGATGGTGTCAGAGCCGGGATTTGAACTCGGGACTTCCTGCTTTCCAGAACTACTAGATCAGGTCTCTCTCTTCAGAGCAGAGGGTAGAAAACAGTAGCTGCAACATCCAGGGAAGGGAGAGAAGCGGAGGACTTGCATGCAATTGTGGTAGTGACCTTTGTTAATCTTTTCTCTTTCCAGGCCCGTGAGTACAAGGTAGGCTTAGCACGTGGTCTGGTCTTTTTGCCCCATGCGTTGGGGGTGCAGATTATGGTGGAAGGTATTAACATGCTGGTGCAGGGTGTGGAATGCAAGTTTCGAAGCAAGGGAGCTGGGCTTGCAAATATTTCTGCTTTTTTCTGGTCTAGAGGTGTTCTCCTAGCATGACCTGACTGTTCCCTCTTGGTGCCGCAGGGTTCGGGCTTGGCTGGGGATGGGGAAGTTGGTGGAGTGTAAGGATGATTGTTTAGGGAATAACAGACTCTTCCCCCTCTGCAGAGGCCAATTGGAAATCAGTAGCCTCGTCCCTTTGGGCCCCAAGTATGTCGTGAAATGGAACACTGCCCTCCCCCAGGTGCAGGTGGTAGAAGTTGGGCAGGAGAACAGCACATACGACAAAGACAACGTGGTCATCCAGAACGCGGGAGCCAAAAAACACGCGTCGGCCAGCCAGTCATCCAGTGAGTATCCGCTCGGCGGTGGGGGTGTAGCACACCAGCTTAGTGTGCTCGGTCTTCCTCTAGTCGGTGGCTGCTTCGCAGAGGATAAGAGTCTACTACTGTTACCAGCCAATGGAGTTACTCCCACAGCTCCAGTGGCAGAGCCCTATTTTTAATGCTCAAGGTTCAAGTGGGCGAGGTGGGAGGAGAAGAGGGAAGGGATAGGAGGGGGAGCAAGGGGATCTATGGAGACTCAGGAACTGCTGGGACCTCCCCTTCCCAGCCAGGACCTGGCTGCACCACTATCTGATCCCTGGCCCAATCCTGGACCCCACAGCGGCTGCTCCAGCCCCTCCGGGTCCCATCCTCATGTCAGCCCCCCAGGTGGGCTCCAGCATTCATGGAGGCAGAGCCCCAGCAATATTTCCGTTGTGGAATCATGAGTGCGCACCGGATCCACCCCCACCCAGGTTCACTCCAGTGGTGGCAGTGGGTGATTAGGGCTTTGCTATGCAATCTGGGTCAATCTGGGAATTTTACTGGGATGTGCCGTTGAGTTGGGCCATGGTGATGTGGTAGAGCATGGTGCCTTCTTCAGATCGCTGACCTCAAAGGAGGGGTTCCCCAGCCCTTCCCTCCCCACCGCATTGATCCCCGCACCCCTGGTGGCAGCACCCCATCAATGCTCGGCTGCTCTCTTCAGTGACTGAACTCAGCAGCGTCCGCTCTAGCCAGCCCCTCCTGTGTGATGGAAGGGGAAGAATCGCGTCTTTCCTGAGCCCAGAGACCTGGTCCCTGCCTCGGTGTTTGTTAGACTCAGAGGTTGCCTGAGCCCGTGACTCCTCAGTCACATGAGGGCTAGCACGGGAATGACTCCCCGCCTGTTGCTGGCTGGGCCTCTGCAGCGACGTTTTGCTGATGACTAACAAACGTTGCCTGTGCCTCTTGTTTTGGTTTGCCAGCTAGGGGGACTTCCTCTGTGGGCAGTATTGAAACTGAAGATGTAGAAACTTCCGCAAGCAATAAACACGTCTTGGGAGTTGCTTGTATGGGACCAGAAACCGGAGCCCTTTGCTGCTTGGGTTCCTGGACATGTCTCATTGTGTCCCTGCCCGTGGCTGTTCTTGACCCATCTCCATTCTACCCTCTCCAGCCCCCTTGTGCCTGTTCTCTTACAGTCGGGACTATCAGGTGGAAAGATTGTCTTTGAACTTGTTGTTTCTGGGCCAATGTTTTATACCCCAAGGAGCTGCCTTTGTGCTGCCTCAATCGCCATTAGCTGTTGGAACGACTGACCTTGAAACGTGGTGGAATCTCCATCGCGTGGGGTCTTTAAATCGAGACTCGGTGTCGTTCTGAAAGTTGTGCCCTAGGTCAACCATAATCTGAGCCCGATGCGGGGATTACCGGGGGAGACTCCGGCCTACGCTACGCAGGAGTCAAACGACGACTTCTTAGCGTATGCGCAATGTGCCTCAGGTGGCACGTGACCAGGTGTCATCACCGAGTTTGGTCCGCTGGTTGGATCATTCGCTCCCCCGGCTTGGCCCGGGTACTGACTGGGAGTGTGGCATGAATGCCGATCCGTGCCCCACCCCAGAGTCAGGCTAGATCATCACAGTGATGGTTCCTTCTGGCTTTAAAATCCACGGGGTGTCTGAAGGCAGCCCCGCACTTAGGACTGTGCTGCCCTATGAGGTTGGCTGCTGAGAAGACCCAGAGTGGTGATGGCAAAAGGGCTCCGTGGAATCCCCGCTCAGAGCATGAGTGAATTTCGGCACTTGGGAAAGCCGGGGCTGGGTAACACTGTCAGAGTCTGCACAAGCTTTCCCCATGCGACCGTGCTAACGTACCCCAGTCCTGAATTCTGGCGCCCGCTGCTCTTCTGTTCCTGGACAGTCTGCCAGTTGTACGCCGGGTGAATGCGAACTTGCTTCCCCCTGGGACCCGAGCTGGGATTTGAAGCCAAGTCTTCCAAAGTGGAAGGTCAGCTGAGAAACCCACTAAGCCCCTCTCTGCCCGCTAATGCATTGCTTTCCTCCCAAGATAAGGTGTACCTGGGTCCTCCACGGCTCTTCCAGGAGCTCCAAGATTTGCAGAAGGATCTGGCTGTGGTGGAGCAGATCACCCTACTCATCAGCACCCTCCATGGCACCTACCAGGTAATGGCCAGGCAGTTCCCCTTCACAGTCCGTGTCAGCTCTGTCTCTCCAAGCTGATTCCTGCCAGCAGGTCTCTAGTCAGTTGGGAATGGGATTTACTAAAGAAATGGAGCTATTTCCCCTGTGGTCAGCGAGCCACAAGCTGGTTTGTGACTTGGACATAACCAAGGCTGGAGGAAGCCACTGCAATCTGGAAATCAGACCCCAAGTTAGTGGTCTAAACGCCAAAGAACATAACCTTGGAGCAGGGCAGAAAATGGCACCGAATGAGGTTTTTGTCGCTATCTTATTTCTAAAGCAGCTGTCCCTCCTCACTAACCACAGTCCTACGTACCCCTCCCCAGCACCTATACCCAACGTTGCTACGCTGGCTCTTTAGCTGGGGAGGCAGGCAGATCCTTGCTCTGTGGATGTCCTACAGTGGATGGCCATTGGCTTCCCCAGGGACCTCCAGACATACCAACTTCCTGATGGACTTGGTTCTCCACCCTTGGCAGTGTGGGTGCCCATGCTAGTCCAGGGCCCCGCTCTTTGCTGTTAGTGGGTGGGCCTTTGGGTGCAATCTGATGGTAACTCCTGGACTCCTGCCTGGCCGTCTCTGCCACGCTCTGATACCTGTATCTCAGGGGTTTCCTTTTCTCTCTTGCTTCCAGAATCTGAACATGACTGTGGCCCAGGATTGGTGCCTGGCCCTGCAGAGGATGATGAGAGTGAAGGAGGAGGAGATCCACTCGGCCAACAAGTGCCGCCTCCGTCTCCTGCTTCCAGGGAAGACGGACAAGTAAGTCTGCTCTTAGATCCCATGGGCGGGACGTTTCCTGATGCATCCCTCTGAGCATGGAGGCAGAATTGGAGGGCAAAGTCCTATTGGCCCGTTCTAGCCAATCTCCTGGTAGGCCCGTGCAGAATTGTGTGCTACAGCGTGTTCCAATGCTTTGATCAGTCCAGGTGTACGGGTCTCCGGTAACGGAAGCCTATGCCAGAGTTTAATAAGGTCTCCCTTATACCTAGTGCCCTGTACACATCTGTGGGCCAGGGCAGCTCGAATCTTGTCTTGTCCTAGCCTGGCTGGGACGTAACCAGAACAAGCAACTGGTTCAATGCCGGTGCTTTGGAGGAAGGTGTAAACCCCCTCCCAGCCTCCCTGTTAATTTGTGGTGGGGTGGAAGGAGGAACATCCTCCTCAACAGACCACCCCACACTGGGATTATGCCCTGATGTTGGGGAGACACTAAGACGATTCATGGTGGATCCTGAGCTGGTGGAAATCAGCAGACTGTGGTACTGCTTTACACCAGCTGAGGATCTGGCCCAATATGCTTCTGATGCATCTTGGCTCCTTTTTCCTCCCTCCCCTCGTGGATCTAGTCCAGAGAGAAGGGCGGCCGGCTGAGACCACTGCAGCGATTATTGGGCCCCTCCTCCGTTCTCGCTGAGATGCAGCTCCTCAGTCGAACAGCTCAGGCTCAGGGCATAACCTGTAAAGCGTCTCCAGGCCCCGTGCTCTGCAGGGCATGGGGGTCGTGGCCCAAGAACTAGCAGCTGCCTCAGCTGCTCAATGCTGGCAACCCCCGGCTGTGACTCCTGGGAGAGCCGCGGGCCACGTGTGGGGATGTGCCACGTAAGTGACTCCAGTAGCTGCAAAGACGAGCCCTATGAACATAGTAACTGAAACCACAACAGGATGATCTCCCTGTCTCGATAAGTTTGTATGTAAACTCCCGGCCTGCCCGCCGCATGGTCAGTGCATTTCCAGCCCTACCCTTTTATCTATGGCCCCCGTGTGCCCTTTTAAACAGCTACCGCCCATCTCTGCAGGGGTGGTTGCACTTCTGGGGCGGGTGAAGTGCCCTTTGGCACAGAAGGTAGCTAGGCAAGGGCTGGGGTGTACTAGGAACCTGGGTCCATCAATGACTTTCAGTCCGACTCAGAATGGAGCTAAATTCTGGCCTCCGTCATCTTCCTGCTGCAGGTCCGGCCGTCCCATCAGCTTCATGGTGGTCTTCATCACCCCAAACCCGCTCAGCAAGATCTCCTGGGTGAACCGCCTGCACTTGGCAAAGATAGGACTGCGTGAGTAACCCTGTTTGCATGGGCAGGGCGTCCCTCTGAATGCCAATGAAGGGGCGGGGCAGGGAGGGCCTGTTGATGTCTGTGTTCCCTTTGATAGGTCAGGAAAACTAAGCATCAAAGGTCCTTGCCCAGCACATGGCATTAGGGGAGCGTGCCAAGCACAGGTTGGAACTTGGGAGCGTTGAAGCCCAGCAGAGCCACAAAGAGCTTGACTAGGAAAGGCCTTTAGCTCCTCAGTGTCGCCCAAGAGTCTCCAGAGCAGAATGTTGGATGCCCTGTATCCAAGTCAAAGAGGGATTTAGTGATGGGCCAAATCAGTCCTGTGTGTTGCTCCATTAAGATCAAGGGATCCGGCTCTCCTCTGCTGTGCAATTCTCCCATGCTGATTTGCTCGTGGTTCACTCTCGCTTTGCACTGGTGCAAATGAGTGTGCAACCTGCAGGGCAATGGAGAACCATGGTCAAGGTGGGCTTGGTTCATGAAGTCTGGCTTGGTTTGTACACATCAGATGGAGGGCTTGAAAGAGGTCTCTTATCGGGGTGACTTCCCGTTGCCTTTGATGCCTTGGAAGCTTATTCCTTCATCGTTCTGATTGCTTCATCGGGGATTAATTAAAAGGCATCACTGTGATTTTTCTTGCCTGCAGATCTTTGGTTCTGCTGCACAGCAGGCAGTCTAATACCAGGGCTATTTCATCAGGGATGTTTGTTTAAATGGAAGCTGTGCGGTCTTTCATCATGCGCCCCCCCACCTTGTTGAATAGTGGTTAAGACCCACGTGTTAGCAACTGTTGCAGTCTCTCTGCTGCAGGAGGCACTAGGCTGGCTGAGAGGTGGCAGGGATGGTGGAGAACTTCTTGGGGCGATGGCTGATTTCCCCCCGCTAGCGGTGTCAGCCATGAGATGGATGCGATGGGCAATTTTTCTCTGACTCATGCCTCTGTGCTTTTAAAAACCTGCTTTTATAAGCTTTTTTCCCCCCTGTTTTCCTGGGCATTGTGTTGTGCAAGTGCCTACCAGAAACTGCAAAGCAGGTTTGGGTAGCCAGAAAACACCATAAAATTACAAATCTAGAATGCACAAAACTTCCACAGAGGAGCTGCTTAAGTCAGGGTGCTGGGTCCGATTTCAGTGCGGGGGAGGCTGCTGGCAACAGCGGCCCCCGAGGATGTTTAGGCCCCTGGAAGCGAAGGATAAAATGTAAAAAATCAGTCTATTTTGGGAGCATTTGTGGTTTCATGTAGGTTTCCTACAACGAAATTACCAACCCAGCACAAACAGGCAACTACTGATGGAGGGAAGGCCCAGGATGCTTCAGGAAAACCTCTAACAAGTTCCCAATGTTAATTTCCATTTGGACAAACTGTTGAATGTTCTAGCTGGTTTTGTCAGCCTTTCTCGTGAAACTTACCAATGTACAGAAAATGTACCGTCCTGGATAGTAGCCTGAAATACCCTCATCGTCAGAGTTTTATATACGCCAGCCTCTCATGAGACAGGCCGGTAGTTTCAGCCATTCGTTGAGGCCTTGTTTCAGGAAAGCGCCTAAGCACATGTTTGACTTTCAGCATGTGTTTAAGATCTGTTGACTCTGCTAAGGTTAAAGTATGTGCTTAAGTACCTATCCCAAATAGGGATGCAGGGCGTTCCCAATTGGAAGAGGGTCAAAGCAGGGGCCAGTGACTTTTCCTCTGCTCCCCAGGAGTTAGGAAAGACTCGAAAACCAACATTTTAAACTACATTCATACTGGGCCAATAGTATCCCGGCCTAGATTTTTTTTTCTTTTTTCTTTTTTCAAACTGAGGCTCGGGGGGAAATTGTGTAACTGCCATTTAGAATTACAGCTTGTGAGTGGTGGTAGTGGGGGGGAAGAGTTTGGGATCGAGATGGCTCCAAGATATCTGCCCTCTGGGTGTAGAGTGAAGGGGAAGGATATAAAACAAGGAGTATTTTTACCCAGGGGAAGGGCGTGTGTTTGAAGCACTAAATAGCATGAATGTCTTTCTCTGCTATCCAAGACAGGCAGGTACAGAGAGAACAGACACACCAGGCGTTAAGTTGACAGAGCGCGCCGTTCCGTTTGGAAATTATGTCCATGGCTGACACTAGCAGCGTCAAGGCTAAAATTAATTAGCAAGTCAAAAAAACACCACACCAATTCCCTTTATGCACCTCAATATATGGAGATATGCCTATCTCATAGAACTGGAAGGGACCCTGAAAGGTCATCAAGTCCAACCCCCTGCCTTCACTAGCAGGACTAAGTACTGATTTTGCCCCAGATCCCTAAGTGGCCCCCTCAAGGATTGAACTCACAACCCTGGATTTAGCAGGCCAATGCTCAAACCACTGAGCTATCCCTCCCCTCAATACCTGGGGAACCATCCCTCTGTGTGCACAGCCCCCAGCACTATACCTCTCTGCCGGCTGGCACATACAGGAGCACCATCCCTGTGCATGCGCACAGCCCCACGCCCCAGGGCACCATCCCTGTGCATGCACACAACCCCAATCCCCAGGGCACCATCTCTTCCCCTCCTCTAGTAACCCCTGGGGTACCATCCATCTGTACACCGACAGCCCCATGGCACCACCCTGAGCATGCGCACTCCCCCAACCCCAGCCCTCAGGGCATCATCCCTCTCCGCATGCACCCTGGGGCACCACCCCTCTGTCCATCCCCCCTGGGTTTGGTGGGCTCAGGGCATCAGCTGTCATATCCTGCAGTTCAGCGCTTGCACGTTAGCGCGGCCAGCCCCGGCAGACAGGTTATGCAGAGGGGTCCCAGTCCCTGTCCCCCGGCACGTTGCAAGATGCCTGGCTCTGCCTGGCACGAGGGGCTCTTCTTGGGATGCCCCCTGCTCTGTTCTCCTGCCTGGTGTGAAGCGCAGAGAAGGGAGGGGGCATTACTGCCCACCCCTATTTAAATGGCACCCCTGACTCAAGTGTAGCTAAACCAGAGTTCAAGTAACCAAACCCACAGATGTCCCCTGAAGGCAGCACGTTCCGGGAGCTGGAACACACTCAGCGGTGTCATACGGCAGGCCTCAGTCTGGCCTCCTCCCTGGGTCTCAAACCGGAATTGGTGGGTGGAATTCTCGACTGCTTTGAGCTACTTCATTAGATTTACTTACCCCTGTATCCCCAGGGCACGTTGTGTGTGTGTGTGTGTGTGTGTGTGTGTGTGTGTGTGTGTGTGTGTGTGTGTGTGTGTGTGTGTGTGTGTGTGTGTAATGTCCATCCGGTCTCTGATCGGAGGTCTTAAGAGGAGGACAATTGTGGATCGTGACTCAGGAAGGTTGGCGTATCTCCTCTACGGGGCAGCACTCTGTGCTGTTTGGAGCGGAGGAGGGGAGTGGGGAGACTGTCTAGGCCTCTTCCTTGGCTGGCGTCCCCACGAAAGCGAGCCTGGCTGTGTTTGAGAGAACCAGGAGGGAGGAACTCAGCGCTTGGCACTCCAAGCAGCTAATGGTCAACACTGAGCGTTCACTCTCTGCATGGAAGAAAACCAGCCGGGGGCTCAGATGAAATTACAGCTCTCAGGAGACCCTTGCAGTGTGCGTCATGGCTGGGTGCTTTGAGTGCCTTCACCTGTCTTTCCCTGACACCTGCTCTGTCCCCCTTGCTCCTTTCTATAGCAAGGACCCCGTTTTACTCCTCTCTTTGGGGGGGGGGGGGGGAATCTCAGCCAGCCAGCCCCACCTGTTATTTTTCCATCCCTCTCAAAGTCTGAGCTGTAGCTCTGGACACCACCTTGTGGCCTGTGTTTACACAAACGAGATGATCACAGCGGTCGATGAAGCAGGTGGAACTGGGTACAGTGGAAGACAAGAGATTGCTCTAGAAGATGGACCCCAGCCTGGTGCAATGTGGCAGATCCTGGGTTCCTAACTGAATCCAAGCAGAAGGAACGGAACTGACTGCAGGTTTCATCTTAGGGGTCTGCAGGCCACGTTTTGGGCTTCAGAGCCTTGAGCCAGTGGCATGGCTGCATCTCCCTGTTCTTCCCAGGCTGCACCTGGGCTCTCCCGTTGACCTTCAGGGCAAGACACGTTTGTGTGCAGCATTTGATTAAGGCTCTTTGTTTTGCATTTAATTTTCTTGTAATTAAAGCGCCTGGCAGCCGCAACCATCAGCGCCCTGGAAATCTGTGACATAAATAACTCCAGCTCTTACTGCCTGGGGGCTTTCTTGAGTTGTGTTGGCTCTGAATGCTGAGGAAATGGGCCAGCACTTGGAGACTGCCTGGTTCTTAATGCCATGCTGCAGGATTCTGCTGTTTGTCCCTTCTCCAAGCTTCCTTGTTTGGACAACACGGCCTGGAACGGGTCTGTGTGCATGCAACCGTAATGCCTCCCGAGCCCACGGCTAATAGGTACGGCTGGACTCTTGGACAGAGACTTCCTAGTGTGGCCACCTTCCAGCCAACCTTGAGAATCCTGACTATGGAACGGTTGCCCAACCGGCCTTCTCCTGACGGAGTTGTATTTCTGTGTGGTGTCCTCCTTGGAAAGGCCCTGGTGGGGTCTGTTCTGCAGATGACTCCATGCAAAGAAGAGGAGGATGAGGTAAAAACAGTGACAGGCTTTCCAAAGAGCTTAGGGTTGATTTCCAAGTGCTCGGCATCCGCCCTCGAGACCAGATTTTTCACGGAGTGCTGCGCTTAGCCGCTGCCTTCGCAAACGGTGCTGAGCGCCGATGAAAATCTGGACTCTTGTTTTAGTGCTTTTATGGAAGCTGAGCTCTTCTGAAAGTTCATGAACTTGGGGGACCAAGGATGGAAGCTTCTGGCTTGGAACCTGGCCATTTTTCAGAGGGCAGCAAAGGTGCCTTAGCAGCAAAGGTCACCATCCACATGTAGGTATGACGTACCCATGTGGATGGTGACCCCTCTATGGTGACCCCGTATAGAGACGCCTCAAGGCGGATAGCTTTCACCACGCCACAAGATTTTAACCAGAGGGAGATGAGGCGCTCTGCCTAAGGAGACGTCTGGTCTG